CAGTTTGAAAATTGAGAAATCTCACGTATTTCAATTTGAAAAAAATTTTACTCAGATTTACTTGTTATGCTTAAAATTTATTAAAACTGTAATTTAATGACCTAATTAAGTTAAACAAGTATTTACTTTGACTTTAAAATTTTTATTCAATTATTCAGTTTATAAACTGCTGAACAATATTTAAAATTTAATTAAATAAGTGGAACAATGAGTGCTGCTCATTATTGTTCCAGCAACGTTATTATATTTATATTTTTTCAAAAAAATTTTGAGAATGACATGACTTGAAACAACCCATGATGTTAACTAAATAAAAATATGAAAAGATTCTATAAAAATTCACATGGTTCAGTTATTTAAAATATTTGACAAAGTTTTTCGGAGCATAAACATCGATAAATATATATAGACTTTGTTAGAATTGAACCTAAACGCCCCGGTTAACGATCGTCTTCTTGTTCTCGCTTCTTCTTAACTCCTGTTAAACACTCTTGCTAAATCTGTTTTTGTTTTTTTGGCCCTTTTTCTCTAGAACTCTCTACCTATTTCTCTGGCTACATCTCCATCACTTACGAAGTTTAGAGCGGATCTCAAGACCAGTCTGTTTTCAAAATTCATTGAGTAGCGCTGTTGAACATCGCGGAAACAGCGCTTTGCAAGCTAATTGATTGATTGATTGATTGATAAAATAAATTAAATGAACATTATTAAACAAATAAAAACATCACTAAGTAAACAAATATTGAAATATGATGATAAAATAAATATTAGCAATGTTTTGATAATAACATTTATTTTTTTGATCAGGTTGGATATTTATCATATTATTAAAATTAAACCATATGACAGCCAAGAATCATCAGAAAAAGATGCAGATTGGACGAGATACTTACGTTATGATCAGTGGAATACTAATAAAACAGAATTAGCCACTGAATCTAGTGAAAATGGCACTGAAGAGCAAAATTTAGAAGTTTCCCATTCTGAAATCCCATCTTTTTCAAATAAGCTGGAAATGGTTAATTCGGTAGATGATAGTCATAATGGCAGTATAGCCTTCTTACTTTCAACCTTGAGTCCTGAGAGGCATAATGATATCTCTTGGCTTCTAAAGAAAGATGTTTTTCTATATGGACCAGATAATAGACCCAGATTGGATGATATTGGTATACAATTATGTTTTAATTGTAGTTGAAACTGTTTTCTCTAACAAAGCATTTAAATAATTTTTTAAATTTCAATAAAATTAGAATGTTGATAAAATTTAGTAGTTTCTGTTGAGGTGCTGCATCATCCGCCCACCGTTCACTTCATATCATCATGATCACACATTCATAATGAGTTATACACACATAACCATCACCTTGTCATCCTTTTTGTCCTTTAGGAAACATTTCTCAGGAGATAGATTTGCAATCTGATCAAGGTAAGCTTACTTTTATTATAAATAATTTTTTCGTCTATCATTAACTTCATAATTGCATAAACGTTTGAGTTGATTTTTTACAACAGTGTTAATCTCACAAACTCATCACAAAAATTTACTAAAATCAAAAACACGTCTTTTTGCAAGAAAACAATGCGAATCATGGCTTGGAGACCATGCAGGTCAAGGACACATCTGCATTATTAACAGCCGTTAATAATATATACTTCATTATTTTATTTAATACAAATGTTATTTTTCTTAACCTTTTACATATAAAAATTGATTATATATAAAAATAAATCGTCCTACCTCGGGAGAACTGGGTCTCTGGACGCTAAACGAAAATTGATTTTATATATAAAATGCGCGAACTGATGTATATTAATTTTTTCACAGGTCCAATGTTCCGGTTAGTTTTGTTGGACTTGAAAGGCTGAATTAATTCATGTGTGCTATATATATATGCATTGATTGATTGCTTGATTGATTGATTGGCTGGTTGATTGATTGATTGATTGATTGATTGATTGACTGACTGACTGACTGACTGACTGACTGACTGACTGACTGACTGACTGACTGACTGACTGACTGGCTGACTGACTGACTGACTGACTGACTGACTGACTGACTGATTGATTGATTGATTAATTGATTGATTGATTGATAGTGAAATCGATTGATAATTGACTTAATCAACGTTTTTTTTGCTACATTTTTTTTAGTTCCGCTAATAGACCATTATTTGTGGAGCAGATGGAATCTGAATCTGACAACCAATCTGCAGTCACTCCTATAAAATTAAGTAATTTGTTTATTGTTTATTTGTAATGTAACGTAATTTATAGGAATTTTTAATATTAAAAAATGGCTTTGGTTAAGTAATGTAACACTGCTGGTGAAATTTTCGAAGTTTGTCATATATTCACGGACAGAGTTTCTGATAGGTATGATATTGTTAAGTCGACATTCTTGCTTTAACCTAAGCTTGGTTTTGGTGGCTTCATTAATTGGCCCATTCATTCATTTTTGTTCCTGGTGTTTAGGCTCCGAACGATTTATTTGACTTAAATTGACTGACTTAATTGTTCCCGTGCCCTAGACTACATAATTTCAGTTTTTAGTTTGGTCAGTTTTGGAAGCAGCTACAACGTCAATTATTATGTCAATCACTTGAATACATAACTTTGTAAGAATATAAACAACAAATCTCAAGAGTGCATTCAAATTGAAATATATAATATATTATTGTTTAATTTGTTTATAATTGAATAAAATGATTTAGCGGAGAAACTCGTTTATAAGGACCTGAGTAATGAGGTAAATCTTAATTACTCATGAATACGGTTGAATGTTGATGATAATGACGATGATGTTGGTGATAATTGTAACCATTGTTTATTCGCATTCTTGAAAAGCTACTAAGAAAAGACCAACGGACGAGATGGACGCTGATGGATCTGGGTCTTGCAAGCAGAGTCGTGATGGTGATTTTTGTGGTTATGTAGTTTGCACCGTTTTATACTGTCCTCGTGTTATGTCATATTGTTATATTCTCGTTCTTGATTTCAACATTTTTGAGTTTTGGTTTAAACTCAATTTTGCATTTTACCAAAAAAATTGAAATACGTGTTACCAAATAATATATGGCTACAAGTACACCCATGGGCGCCGAATTTTAAGGGCAAAAACTTTTTTCTAATATTTTAGAAGAGTGGCCAACATATTCGTTGAATTTTAGCATAGTAATTCTAAATCAAAACTTTGACCGAAAAACGGATTCATCACCTTCCGTTCGTGGCTTTCGCGAGTTAAAACATCTCTTAGTTTACGTTCATAATTTTTGTATTTCGTGTTTTATTTATTCTGTTATTCGCCATTTACTATACACTCTATCTAGGTCTTTTAACAATGAGTCATGATTAACCTAGTAACCGCGTCTGCACTAACGTTCGGACTGACCGCGAATCTCAGGCTTTAATATAGTCAACATGGCTTTCAACGTTTGGGCGTCAAATAAAATTTGCTCTTTTGTCAATTGTAATCATTTTATTATTTAGAAATTTTTTTCACGTGTTGTTATAAATGCGCTACGTTAACATTCCTCTTGTTCACGGTAGTGTCAGTGGCGGATCCATAGGGGGGGGGGTTGATGTGGGGCGATCGCTTCCCCTACTAAAGAAAAGAAGTCAAAAAGAAATATGGAAAAACTTACTTAAATAAACAAATTTTACTTTAAAGAAATGAAATTTGATAGGTAACAGTGGCAGATCGAGGCGGGGGGCGATGTGGGCCATTGCTCCCCTACAAAAGTTGGCAAGAATTTTTTTAATAGAACAGAATAGATTTAAGTTTACTGACATGATACGGGGGTGAGTGCTACCGCGTGCACCCTTGCACCGTCTTTGCCGTTGCTGATACGATTGCGACGCATATAACGTAATGTCTTAGTCACATAGATTAATATTCAAAGTGAAAAATAATTTAAACGTTTTTTTATTTGTGGGCTTGCCCCTCTTGCCGGCAGTTGTAGGTTGCTAATGATACCTAAAAATCGCCTCTTACTAGATGACCTGGATCCGCCACTGTGTAGCGTGTACAGTGAAATTGTACTTGCAATATTAAAATTCCTGGTAAAGTTATTTTTGCTGCCCTTTGCATTAATTTTGACCTGTGGGGTAAAAATGCTTCAAAAGTCTCTATGCCGATTCATAATCTTAAATTTTTCGTCGTGGTGGTGAGCTGCATTTCATGTGATATACTTAATTTATATATATATATATTTATTTATATATAAATTAATAACAATATTGTTAAATGTTGAAACATTTTTGTTGAATTTTATATGAAATGATAGTTATGAATTTTTATAGTTAATGTTCGAGAAAAGACTGTTCAATACTTGAGACGCGAAATAGTAAGATTGGCCAGAAAATGTTAGTTGATTTGTTTTCTTGTGCATAATTCGTTTGAATCATTATGTAACTATTATTGTAATGAACTGTGTTTTTATTTTATGAGTTCTAACATTTTTTTTCACAAATCTTTGTTTTTCTAACAATATAGAGAAGTAATAACAAGTATTTCTGGTACCATGGTCACACATTCTATTTTTTCAGTGGTCCTAATCATATTTCATATTTACAATTTTTAAATGTTTTCTAATTTGTATTATTCTTGACCAATAGTAAACTTGAGTTGGAGGTATAAACCGCAGGAGTGGCCTGATGGAGTACCGTGGGTTGACCCAAACAATGGCCATGCTGGAATCAAACGTGTGTGCTTTGTTTACGCCTTCATTCTTATATTGATTAGTTTCGCTCCTTGGAGGTTCTGTTATTGTTTTAATTTTGAGTTATTTATAGAAGATTTTTAAATTTCAGAAAAGCCTAAAAAAGGAGAGTTGCAAAAAATGTTAAATACGTTGAAAGACTATGAGGTTTTCTTTATTATTTTAAAGTTCAGTTGGCTATTTTCATTATTATTGTCAATTTTAAATTAATTTCAAAAGAAAAAGTAGATGATCAGAATGAAGGTGCCGACCACTGTGAGTATCAGAAAAAAGGAGCGAAACCAGGATTTTATTTAACTTACTAACATTGTTTTATCGCCTTAAATTGTCCGACTTAGCCTAACACGATTTTAAAATGCATTATAATTGTTAACTTGACGCGTAGTTTTTTAATTTCTCTAACTTTTCGAATAAAAATAATAAATGAATAAATTTTTTCTAGTTAATTGATTTATGTATTTTATCTAATCAGCTACTCGAAAATTAATTTTTAAAAGAATCGACACAAGTTTTATAAATGTAAAAACAGAACTTTGTAAAAAATAGTTATAGGCATGAACAAATTTATAAAGACATCAGCACATACAACAGCAGTAGAGAAACAGCATTACATTAACAAAAACACATTAACCTTACTACAACAACAACGCTACAACAAAAATTACAACAATATCATCAGCAAGAACAACGGCAGCAACGTGTATTTGAATTATTGAAATTTAATGTCGGCAATTTGTTAAGGTTGACCGGCCGTTCGATTCTTTTGCAATTGTTTCCGCTGTTGTTGGGCCGGCCTTCAAAGAAACACATGTCTTTGGTCTATCTTAATGGTTGTTGTTTTTAACGTTGTGGTTGCTGTTGTTGTTTGCGTTGTTTTCTGATCTAATGTTGTTTTTTATTCTACTGATTGTTTCAAGGTTTTTGTTTTGTTGTTGTTGTTGTTGTTAAACACATTTAAAAAGATGCAATTAAATAAAACTCACAAGCTAATTCGGTCATTTCAGAGAAATTTCAACACAGCGGAGAAAATTACAAATGTGTGTTATTCTATTTTTTATTCTATTTTTCTATTTTTGCTGACCCGCTTATTTGTAATTAAATTAATAATTAAGAATAAATTAATGATTTAATTAAAAATATTAACTTTTCAAAAAAAACATTAAATTGTTACTTTCGGCAAACCACAACACCAAAAAATAATTTAGTTTAATAATATTTTTACAGATTTTAAAACGCCAACATGTGTTAACGACATCAGCTTAGCTCGACTTGGGACACACACACATAGAAAAGAAACACACACGCACATACAAAAGAAACACGCACACATACACACAAAAGAAACGCAACAGAAATCATATGTTAATATATAATTTATAACGTAGCGTAACGCATACAACATCTTTAGGAGAGCCATTAACTTCTCTATTATTTTAACTATTCTCATTATCATTCCACATAAACAAACACCCAAGCAGAGATGGACGCACACAAACAAGCACACATACAAAGAAATGCACAGATATAAACAAACACATACAGAGCGAGACATAATAAAGTTACACACACATCAAACAAAATGCAATTCAATAATTTGAGACGCGCCGAAGATGTTATTGAAATTTCTCTTTACGATCACTTATGTTTGTCCCGTTTGCATTTGCATATGTGTGTGTGTGTGTTTGTTTGTGTGTGTGTGTGTGTTTCTGTCTTGATGTGTGCATTTTTATCTTTTGTATTTAGTTTTTATGTTAAGTTTGAATGTTCATCTATTTAACCATTGTTGCGGTTATGACTATTATAAACGACGTTTAATAAAAAAGATATTTGTTTAAAAAAAATTAATTTAAATAAAGAGATTAAAGTAAAGGACAGAGAAGAATGTATTAGGAGTTCTTGGGTAGCATCAAATTCCTGAGTCTTCCTTTTATTAAATCCTTCAAATGAAATTAATTAAGATGAGTTGTTTGATGATCTGATTGCATTGTGGAATGTTACGGTACACGCAATGTAATAAGATTACGACATTCAAATGAATGCTTGGTTTAGTTAGAATGCGTGCACAGTGAGAAGTTGTATTCATCGATCCGTTAGTTTTCTACTTTTTAGGCCGTACTTGTTGGTGTGTTGTTGTAATGTTAATGTCGTTGTTGGGTTGTTATTGATTTTATCATGTTGTTATTGATGTTTTATATGTTGTCGTCATGTTGCAATTGATGTTTTTGTTTTTGTTGTGTTATTATTGATGTTTTGGTGTTGTTAGTGTTGTTATGTTATTGATATTGTTTCGATTCAGTGTTTGAGTGGTGCTCGTTTTGTGTTGGTTTTGTAGTATTAATAAATTTATTTGATGAGTTTGTGTTGGCATTCAACTATTGCTCTATTGCTAAATTAAAACTTGGACAAGACAGCTAAACAGCAATAGAAAACCAACGGATCGATTAATACAACCCCTCATGTGTATATTCAATCATTAAGCTCATTACGACACATTCGTCTTCGTAATATTTCTACTCGCTTTAATCAGATCATCAAACACATAATTTAATTGATTCTATAGCAGCATCCACAATAATCTAAACAACAAAGGACCTATTGCAATAACTTAAACAGAAAACATTACATTACAACTATTGATAGAACAATTGCAACAACCACAACAGCCACTAACATTGCAATCACCACAAAAACAACAACAACTGCTACTACTGCAACAACCGCAGTAACTAGCAACTACACAGCAACGTCAATTCTGAAGTGACGACAGTCACACCGGCCACAACAGACACCAACTTCAAGTTGTTTTGTATTGATTTGCATCTCATTGCACTCATCACATTGCAGATGATGACTTCTTTATTGAGTTCTCATAAAATTTTTGTTTATTTGTTCGTCCGTATGTTCGTTCTTATGTTCGTTCGTTTGTTTGTTTGTTCATAATTTGTTCATTTGCCTGTTTGCTCGTTTCAAACAATTTCGGAAAATGTAAAAATGAATTATAAAATAATATTCTATTTTATTAATTTCTATTTCAAATTATTTGACTGATATCATATTTTTCTTAAAATAATGTTTTAAGACCTCACGTTCAAAACCATTTGTCGAAGATGTAACAATGTTAAATTTAAATAAAAACTAATTATCGTAGCGTTGTCTACTAATTAAAACTGTTTGCAAGAAATTAATACTCAACAGCAACAGTTCTTTTTTCTTTTTGAAGTTACCACTGCTTCTAATTTGATTCATTTGTTTGATTCATTTGTTTTATTTATTTGTTTTTATTTTTTCGTTTGCATTTTTCGATAGATGCGCAAGTGAAGTTTATTTTAACATCGTATTTGAATCATCTTAATATAGTTTTTAAAAGAAAAAAACAGAGAAATAAAAATATAATTTCATAGATTCACATATATCATTGCAGCTTTCTTTCGTTCTGAACTCTTTCATGTCAAATAATTTTTGTTAACATTCAGCATTACAATTTCAGTAGAACGTATGAGTTTGTAAAAGTGTGCGGTAATCTGTGTGTGTAGTGTGTGTGTGTATATGTATGTATGTGTGTGGTGTGTGCGTGCGCGCGCGTGTGTGAGATACAACAGCTTAATTTGTTTCTTTATTAATTCTATGAAAGGTTAGTTTTTGAAAAAGTCCCATTACGACTTTTCATATTATATTTCATATATTGTAATGATGTCTTTATGTATTTATTTATTATGCAATCACTAGATTGGTGGGTTTCCAAATGAACTCTCATTCTCATTGGATGACGATTTTATGTATGCAAATACATACACGTGAGTATAATGCTATGTATGTATGTATGTATGTTTGTTTGTATGTATGTATATATGTATATATATATATATATATATATATATATATATATATATATATATATATATATACTTATTATATTTAAAGACTGTTTATAAGTAGTATAGTAGTATAATTTTTAAATAAGTCTTCAAAAATAATAATTCAAATAATTCAAATTTGCGTTGGAAACGTTAAATTTATTATCAATAAATAATTGTTTGGACGAGTTGTTAATAAATAATTGATCCATTGGTTGGTTGTTGGGTTCATTGGCAATCAGCAAGATGGTGAAAAGTATCATTGCCACCATGCAACCTGCTAACTTTCACGATGAAAATATCGGAATTACGAAACACAACCATTTGAATGAAGAATTGAAAAGTTTCTCCAGTGATTCAAGAAATGTTGGCGACATTCAGAAAAGCATGAAATTTCAACAAAATCATCAGATTAGTAATTTTTCAATAAAAGATCTCTTTCAACAAAACTTCAACAACTTTTTCACAAACATCAATGACTTCAACAACGTCACGAGCAACATTCACAACATCTTCTGCAACATCAGCAGCAACGGCAACAACTTCCACAGCAATGTCAACATCGGCAATGGGTTCTACAACGTTTCACACGCAAGCGATGCATATCGCAGCAGCAACAACTTTAACATCATTAACGGCTCGAACATAAACAACAACTTGATCATTAACATTAACAACAGCAGCAACAATACCAACAATAAAATTGAGAAGAACCTCATTATTAATAACAACAACGCTGTTAACAAACAAATTATAGCTGGTGATGATGCTAACGATTTGAGAGACATAAAAACAGTAAACAGTTCCATGAAGCCCAATCACATCAAAAAATTCGATTTTTCAAAACTTGTTGAATCGGCGCTAACTAAATCCGATGGAAAAATGATGAACAATGATGAAGACGATGACGAGGATTGTAACAAAAATGATATTGACCAAGATTTTGTTGATGATAAGAAATGTTCTAGAGATAACAACAAGGATTTTGACAATGGCGATAACCTAACTATGGCACCTTTCACAAACAAATCTCCCAAACGACATGCAACTGGTAAGACTGACGATCACAAAGAGCAAAAAAAAGCTGCTACGCTAGAAAAGTTAAACCGGATAACAAATACATCTTCCCACCAAACACCTCCCACCTTCAAAGATGATTTGAAAGTAAGAAAACCAAAATACCCTAGTAACAATTGTTTTAATGGGGGCCAAATAGATAGAAACTGCCCTTTGGAACCTAATGGAAAATATGAAAATTATAAAGTTGAAAATTTGAACGCTCTAGTCAACTCCTCTCTCGATAGTCATAACCTATGCGTGACCCCGTACAAATTTTCCCACCCAAGACGAAACAGCGACATGTATAGCAACATGTATAGCAACATGTATAGCAACATGTACAGCAACCAGTACAACAACGTCTATAGCAACATCCACCACGGAAACCAACAAAGAAATCTACCGCTTGTAGTGCCACAACAACTCACGTTAGTACTGAATGAACGACAGCGACTACCAGAGCTTCAGAGTACGACACCTTATCAACAGTTCCTTTTACGTCAGCAGGAGGAAAAATATAATTACAGGTTACAAGAATTGTTATTACATCATCCTCATTATTCACATAGAGATCAAGAAAATTGTCATCATCAACAAAAACAACAAACAAAACTTAAAAATAAAAAAAGAGAACAACAACAATTATTGCCACATGAGCAGCGTCCATCGCCACATCAGCAGACTATTCACGAGAGACAAGAAGTTCAACAACAAACATCTTCAGATGTCGAACCACAATACCAAAATGGTGACAGACAACACCACACAAATAATCAACAACAACAATGTGATGAAAAACAAGATGACAGTCAACAACAACACTTCACGGACACGGAAAATCAACAACAACAACCACGCAAAGACCAACAGCAACAACAAGACCACACGAACAACCAACAACAAAAGCAGCGTAAACCCGAAGTCGAACAAGAGCAACATAAAGAGGAGGACATAGATGAACACACTTCATTCAAGAATCCTTTCACAAAGAGATTGACATGGAGATATCCAATCGACGATGTGGATAAAGATAAAAAGTTGATAAAATGTGGATTGTGTTACAAATCCTTCACGAAGTCCTACAACCTGAAGGTTCATATGAGGGCCCACACAGATGAGAGGCCCTACGCCTGCAGGTTCTGCAGCAAGCGATTCAAAAGGAAAGATCACAGAATCGACCACGAGTTTGTTTGCAATTTTTCTATTTTTTATCCATTGTTGCCTAATCCAAATATTTCACTGTTGGGTAAAGTCACTAAAACATTCATTTAAATAATTAATTCGCTTAAATTATGTTTAAAATGAATCAAATAATAAGATAACCGGGCAGACGGAAAAATTCGATTTATTGTTTACTACATTGTTTTGCATCACTTGGACGTAAATGCACTTCCAGGTACACTCATTATGAAAGGAAACCGTACGTTTGCAAGTTCTGCAGCAAAGGTTTCTGCCAGCAGCGATCGATGGTGGTGCACATCAGCAGATATCATTGATGTGGAAGAGGTTGACCGCACTCCTACCTAGCTAGGTTCCTGCCTGACTGCTTGCGTTTCATTTTTTTTTCTATCACTTTGTTTTTGTCGTTGCTGTCACCAGATAGCATTAGGTCGTTTTGATTTTTCCATTCCATCCGATTAAGTTAACAAATCTCGATGCTTATTACAACTTTAAAATAATTTAACGGCTATATTTAAAGGATTAACTTCTACCGTATTGATAAATGAAATAAGAAACATCATAAAATTGATTGAATGAAATAGTCACGATGATGAAGAAACGTTACTGAAACGAAAGTTAACTTATTTTAATAAAATTAACTTCAAAGATTAGAATAACTTGTACATGCCAACATCAACATTTGTTAATTAAATAAAAATTAATGTCATTAGCTTTTGTTTCGAACATGTGTTTAGAGTCGTTTCTTCTCTTTCATCTTTTGTTCTTTTGTTAATCACTCCACTCCATCGCTTACCTGTGACTTATTTTCTTCAGCGCTTCTTCCAGCGTCTCAACGTCAGCTGTTGTACGAACGAAACATTTGAGTTCAATGATTTATTATGAAATGTTTTTGCCAAATTTGTATATTGAAAAATAAAGAATTGATAAATCACTTTTAATTTTAGCCGCAAAGTTTCCGATTTGCCTGCTGTTGTCCAGAGCCTCAATGGATGAGGTGTATGCGTTGTATCGCACCGTGTACTTCCTTGGGATCTTCTTAGCGAAGGCTCTATTTGTCGTAGAGTTCAAAAAATTATTTTTATTTTTAGCTGACAAATTTGAATAAATTCCCAAAAACTACATTTTGTTTCCGCTCTTTCAAACTTTTCAAGTAATTGTGAAAACTTATTTACCATCAACATTTTAAAACGCGCAAAAGTTTGATTTTTAACTTACTTCAGCTTGGCTTTAGCTTCAGCAAAACTTTCAGTAGTAAAATAGACAGGCTGGAACTTAGTGATGGGGTATTCTTGGACACCTGTTTGGTCAGGATCGAATGCTTTTATTTCAGGTTTGCCAGACAAGCAGTACTGCAGTGGTCAATTAAGTTCATCGTTTCATACAAAAAATATATCAATCGTATATCATCGATATTATCTTTTCAACTTGTTTATTTTTTCTTTTTCAATTTACATAAACAATTTAAAAATTAAAATAAATTGTAAAGCGAGAAAATTTTAAAATTACTTCCAACTCTCCAAATGAGGAGAGCAGACCAGCTCCGTAAGCTTTCAAATGGCCATTCTGTCTGCACAGTCCAAATTCGACAGTGAACCAATAACACTGAGGATGTTAAATTAAATTTAATTGTAAACATTTGTAATGAAAAACTTTTGCTTTGATTAAATTTCGAACAATACTATTCGTGAGCTTAAAATAAAAAAACAATATGAACCGTAGCCAGCTGTGCGATGTACTCATCAGGTGCTCCCAAACTGGCGAGTCCAATCTCTTGCGAGAACTGAGCAAATCCTTCATCAGCAAAGAGGGGCACGTGACCAAACAACTCGTGACAAACGTCTCTACAAATAACAATGATGTGCTTGCTTATAATCATTAAACGTTTAATTTGAAAATAAGTAACGACTTCGGTTTCATGAAGAAAAAATATCTCCATTGAAATACTAACGGCTCAGGTGTGTACATGGGGACAGATGGATGTCTGATGTACTGCGTTGAATGGAAGACCCTGAAGGCCAGACCTGCCAAGAAATCTCTGGACGACAGGAGACCTGCAACTGGTCGCAATGTAAATCCCGTACAATCTGTTGTAGAAGAAATTATATTATTTTTAACGTTTGAAAAATTATTAAAAAATGTCTTACTGATTTTTTATTTGTTTGAAAAGTCACAAAAATGATGAAACAACTGACCTTTGAGGAAGTTTGAGACATCTTCGAGTTGGGGTATATTGTCCTCCCTGAACCCACAGTTGTCGATGAGGAGAGGGAATATGTGGTTGAACTCCTGGCAGGCGTGTGTGGGGTAGAGTTTCGTCAGCTCCTTATATATTGTGCCCCTATTTTATGCGTGCGTGGTTAAAAAATTGACGATTGTTAAAAGCCAATTGACCAAAAACTCTAAAAAAACAATTAAAGCTTGTTATGTTTGTAAAAATATAAATTTGTTTTGTTAAATTTTGTCAAATGATCAAAAGAAATAAACATATTTACTTCGTAACTTTAGAAAATCAAAACAAAAAACAACAAAATAAGGAGAAAGCAAACAAACAAAATTGTCAGCAATACTATAAGGCACGAACCATGTCTCTATTTCTTCTTTCGTGTATTCTACTCTCGGAATCGGCTGACCACTGACGGTAATAATGAAAAAAATAATAAAAAAAAAATTAATAATAAAGTTAATAAAATTGTTGATATTTGCGTGAATACCAAATTAAAACACGAAATTATTGCAAATAACTTTTTTCCAAATTATTATTTGATCAAGTGAATCAACTGACTGTCGATAGTTGTATGCGATGTCTGCAAACTCTTTCCTTCGTGCTCTGTACACTGGATCCTTGAAGCCCTGGAAAGAAAACAAATTTGAAACTTTGATTTTTGAAAATAAATGTGGCGTAATTAACTAAATATTTTTTAGATAAACAAAAAACACTTTCAAAGCACTAAAAGACGAACACAATAAAATATGCTGATATCTATAAATAATTAAAATCATAGAGCACGAGCCGGGTGAAAAATATCCGACTCCGGCACTCTGCTTAAAATGCTTACAGGGTGGTCTGCATCCAGTTCAGATCCGTAAGAAAGGATTTGATTGGCGAAGACATCCAGGTCTTGTATCTTGTGTGGGAACCAGGGCACTGTTTGGTCAATCAAGTTCTGAGTTAATAAAAATGTCCATAACAATTAATTTTTTTTTGAATACTACACAAATGAATCACAAAACGCATTAGTAATAAAAAAGAATTAATAAAAACTTCAAAAAACAGCAACAACAATAATAATAACAGAATAAACAAAAAAATAATAATAACAAGAGATGAACAAAAAAACGGCAATATAGAGCGACCAGTGACAACAAACAACCGACTGACCAACATCAGGCTGCTTGACCACTCTGGCCAGGACATCAACATCAGAAGTGATGGTTTTCAATTCTTTCAGGGCATCGTCCAGACCCCCTTGTGAGTTGTCGCAGTCGATGAAGAAGTCGTACTTGTTCAAACTCTGCTTCGATGGTCTCGATTCAATGTGCAACAAGTTGACGTTGAATTTCTGATTGGTTGGTTTGTGTGTGTGTGTTTGTTTGTTTGTTTGTGTTTGTGTGTGGTGTGTGTGTGTGTGTGTGTGTGTGTGTGTGTGTACATACGTAGTCGGTGGGCTGGTTATTGAAAATATATTATACAATTCAATACGTCTAGAGTCAATTCAATATAAGGCTCCACACATTACAATTGGCAAAAAACAATGAAATATTTTTATTCAACACAAACACTAACACAATAGAACAATGATAGTTATTATTGAAAATAAACTGTTGAAGTAACGTCACAAACATTCTACCCGACAACAAACACCAGCCTTCAACACGCCATGCCACCCACAAACCTCAAACGCCCTCAACGCCTTAGCGAGTGCACCGACTGATTCTTCGACGGAGAAGACGAGTTTGGTGCATGACTCTGGAACGACGGGGGAGGCTTCTGCTGATTTCGTTGTTGCCTGCAGAGGAATAAAAAATGATCCATCATTGTAACAATGTAAGGACTAAGTAGTTTGCGTTGTTCGTGTGTTGCGATTCTGTAAAAAATGTGATTTGACGGCGCAAATTCTTCAGGCTCGTTCAGATAAGTGCGCATGATATTGTAACAATATTTCAATCCGTAACCAAAACTTAAATGTGAACTAATCGATCAACAAGAGATCTGTGCAAAAATGTTGAAGTTGAAAAAAAAGAGATTACTTACTATGTAAGCTTCGTTCGTTCTTTCTCCCATCATCGAGTTTTATTTTGAAATTTTTGTTGTTGATTTTGTTCTCGCAAAGATAAATTGCTTCGGCTACTGCAGACCTACCTGACGATCCGATATAACGTACGAGGGCTGCTCACCGACTTCTTAACTTCAGATGCAATGAAACGTTGAACCAGCTTGTCACTGCCTGCTAATGTATTTAGTGTTCATATTGAAGGTGACACCATTCTCAGTTATATATACGGCTCTGTGCAGTATATGTGCAGTCTCTGTACATTTATTTTTATAAGATATATATTTATACACATATGTAAAGAAAAGAGAGAGAAATATATACGGAGAGAGAGAGAGAGAGAGAGAGAAAGAGAGAGAGATGAAAAAAGGAGAGGGGACATAATGAATTGCACCAATGGCAGATGCTTGAATAGGGTCATGCATAAAACAACACAAACTAACATTTTATTCACTAAGAGCAACATTCCACGAGGAACGCAAAGTTAAAAACCCTGGTGGTCTAATATTGTTACATAATTAATGAATATTTAAATGAATTAAAAATAATAAATAAAAGCACATAAACTCTGAACTCTTGTTTTGCATTTGTGTGTAAGAGAACTTTGGTCAATGAGTTGAATTCAAATCTAAAGTGCCCTTTGTACGAGCACATTCTCATGCTGTTTTGATGTTTCATTTTTGTCGGGATGTTTATAAAGAAAATAAATGTACCATGGCACGAAGGCTTGTTTGAGTTATTCATAGTTTTTCCTTGTGCCTTTGAGGTGATGTTATTTATCCAAACACACACACACTCTGTTTTATTTATTGCTTTTTTCTCAACTGAAATTGCTATTTAGAAAATTTTAGCTTTCTTGTGTCTGGATTTTTGGAGGATAAATTACATTCGTCTCCAAGACTCTGTCACGTCACATTTTTAAGTTTTTCGACATTAACTGTTATTAATTTAATGACAAATGTGCTGGTGAAAGTTTGAAACAAAAATCTTTTTTCCCTGAAAGCATTGAAATACTTTATGAGTTATGATGAAACAATTGTGTATGATAAATAAACATTAAGGTTATATCATTAGATCAATCAATCAATCAATCAATCAATCAATCAATCAATCAATCAATCAATCAATCAATCAATCAATCAATTAATCGATCAATTAATCGATCAACTAACCAATCAATTAATTGGTCAATGATGTTGTATCTGGATATGTGTGTGTATGTCTAACTCTGAAATATATATGTACAAATTTCAAAGTTTTGGCTGTTGAATGTGTGGGGTCTGATATAAGGTTTTATTAAAAAATAAAATTAATCTATAACACACGTACGTACGCACGTAATTGTGTTTGTTTCAAGGTTGAGGCCATTAGTGTTTTGGTTTTATTTTATACTTACACTTCAATCGCTACGCTGCTGGGATTTTACAAAAAGTTATAATAAAATGTATGATTATAATTAAGATAATCATGATTAATGAAATTCGCGCTGAGTCAGCCAAAGTGCTGATTCCTCTAGCTCTCGGAGACCGAAAACTCATTTGAAAGGGATCGCCACATCTTTGGACTGAAGTGAATGGACTTAACCCAAAGTTTGGATTCCAGACATTCGGAGCACCATGCCATGGCGGCTTGCAGCGTGAGTAATCATTAGTGTATTTAAAAAATTTGTCGAGAACTTGTAGCGAAGAGCTTTGTAGTTTAATGTAAATACAGGATAGCATGGGCGCGCTGGTCTTTGCGCAATGACAAAGTTTAAGAAAGACCACAGCAACAACGTTGTTTCATATGGTCTGCAGTTCTTTAATTGATGGATGGGGGAAAATGATTTTGAAGATTTGGTGCGAGATCTCCAAACAAAAACTTATTGCAATGTTAAAACAAATAATTTAATACAATATCTTATTATCTATTTATTATTATTTTATGCTAACATTTCGGACTTTAAAACACTACTGGACGTAATATAATAAAGCCCATTAATTACATAATACGGAGTTCCGTCTACCCGTGGAAATTTTTATTTGTTACATAAGAGTGAGCAAACACTTGTAAAAACTGGTTGAAAATCAAGATGACCTCACAACACGTGATGTAAACGTGCATATATATTTGGCGAAATATCAATAAAAAGGGAATACATAAATAGTCCATATAAAAACAAAGCAAAAACTGAACTGTAGAAATGGTTAGCCATTAATAATCATCATTGACAAAAACAAAATGCGTAGGTACACTTGAAATGCAAAGTCATTTTTTTATTAAAATCACTGATATGCTGGAAAAAATTATAACGCATAAAAATCACAAGGCTTGTTAAAAAAATATGCAAGAAGGTCATCAATTTCATCACAGCAATCTCAATAATACCCACACTTCGGAATAAAAATTAAAAAGATAAATCAAGAACGATACAAGAACACTAATCGGAATATTAAAATAAAAAATTATCGCAAAAAAATAGAAATGATTCTCTTCAAAATAATCAGAGGAGGTTGTCAAGTGAGAAAACGCAATCAACACAACCGCTAATCAAGGGAGGCGTGAGAAACATAGCAACTGATACATGGAGAAGAAAAAACATTCACTAACCGATTGTCTTGTGATAATAATAATAACATTTAAACACGATATAAATCATTACTTATATGTGTAGGTATGTACACAAAAATTCAAGTGATGTCTAAATCTTTCAATTTGGAGCTCACAAATCAGTTTTCATGACCTTTCTGAAGTAAAGGAATTTGGTAAAAAAAATTGATGGTTAAAACAAGCTCTATTAATGGAATGCATTTAAAATTACCCAGCATAATCATCGGAAACTGATATTTTGGCATCAGCATCATTAGTTTTATTGCCACCATCATCTTCATCATCTTTACTGTCATCGTCGCCATCGTCATGAATATTCAAGAGGCCAGCGTGTTGAAGTTTTTGAGAGTTTTTCTGGCAGAATGTACGCAGGTCTGAACTTGTGACAACATTTAGAGATAACAACTCATCCAATGTTGACAGCTGCTGCTCTTTATCCTGTTTGTGTGTGGTTTGTTTGTTTGTGTGTGTGTGTGTGTGTGGTTTGTTCGTGTGTGTGTGTGTGTGTGTGTGCGGTTTGTCTGTGTGCGTGTGTGTGTCCGCAATCGTTTATTTATAGTTTTTATTAAGTTTATGGTTTTAATTTTGCACGACGTTGTTAGGCTTATCGCCATTAAGACGTTCCATTATTATAACAAATAATTCATTTGGAAGGTTGAATTTAAAAAAAAATAATAAATTCACATTTCGGATTTTACAACAGGTGTGATCCAGTCACGAAGTTAAACTCTAACCATCATAATCAATGCAGGTTCTTATATTTACCAGTTAAATTATCTTATGTATGCAAATAATTAAATGAATTTAAATTAACAGTGAATAAATTAATAAAATAAAATTCAAATAAAATAAAAAAATAAAAGTTCTCTATGTAATTAAATTAAATTGCGTCAACATCACTAGCATGCCCCATCAACAGTACTTACATTATTCAGTAAGCTGATTAACACGGAAGATCAATCAATCAATCAATCAATCAATCAATCAATCAACCGATCGATCAATTAGTTTGTAAAGCGCTATTTCCACGATGTTCAACAGCGCTCCTCAGTGAATTTTGCACACAGATGGGTCTTGAGATCAGCTCTGAACTTCGTAAGTGATGGAGATGTAGCCAGAGAAGTAGGTAGAGAGTTCCAGAAAAAAAGACTAGAAAAAGCAAAGGCAGATTTAGCAAAAGAGTGTTTAACACGAGTTAAGAAGAAGTGAGACGAAACCACCGAGAAAACGTGCAGCCATCACGCTAAACATGAACAAACAGGCAAGATGAAGACACAACTTATGCAGACGGAATCAACTGAAGTCGACAGTCAAACATAAAAAAAGCCAACTCAACCAATCATCTAACTAACCAACCAGCCAACCAATCAGCCGGCTAACCAGCCAGGTCAATCTAACAAATCTTACAAACCAATCAGCCAGTTAACCAGCCGTCATACCTTTAATGTTCTTTGAAGGGAGATCAGTCTCAAATTGTTCTTGTCCTTTTTGAACGACTTGGAAGCAGTCAGGATGGTTGAAATCCTCCTCAGTTCACTTCTGCCATCCAATCCGAGGTCCACCTTTTTTAGTTTCTTGCATAACTTCGTCAGGTCTGTTGTGTTGTTGTGTGTGACGTGAACTGTGATGTCATGCTAAGCTGTTGTCATTGTGATGTGAAGATGCTATGTAATTGTTATACAATGCTCTAATGATGTCAAAACGATATGGCATTGTTAAATTAAAGCGCGATAATAAAATGATGACGAGATGATGGAGACGATGACGAGATGATGGAGACGCCCTAAATAATAGCACAACAACATGACGTGTACCTTCTTCACTGTCTGGCAAACTTTTGGTTGAGTTTCTGTTGTTATTTTTGGCATTGTTGTGTTTGGTGTCGTTTTTGATGTTGTTACTTGACTGCTGCTGCTGCTGTTTTTGATGTTGATGCTTTGAAAACCGCTTAGCTGTGTATTTGTATATAACAGGTACGTATTACAAAGTATACAACAGGCATGTAAACTCAAAAGGAAACAAGTAATTCTGTTAAAAAAAAAACTAAATGAATTCCGAACTGTACCATGATAGCAGCATAAAAAATTGATAAAATTGAAACATAGTGGACTGACGTGAGTCTGGAGTGATGCGATTGAATGCCCCGATGGACTGTGTGGGAGACAACTTGTAGTCCTCCAGTGTCGATAGGATCAACTTGTTCATCCATCTATGATATCAAATTAATGCATGTATGTGTGTGTGTGTGTGTGTGTGTGTGTGTGTGTGTGTGTGTGTGTGTGTGTGTGTGTGTGTGTGTGTGTGTGTGTGTGTATGAATGTATGTTAGACACCAAAAGCCAAGCGTCTGACTAAATTTGATTTTATTTATGTATGTATGTATGACTGTGTATGTATGTATGTATGTTAAAACCAAACCATGATGAATGACACAAAACAGTCAAACATCAAGTAACAAGTGGATTAACACTTTGATTTGTCCTATAAAGTTGATTTGTGTGTATGTATGTATGTGTGTGTGATTGTGTGCATCAATCTTAAGGATCGTATACGCATATACACGCATATGCAAGAGCACACACTCCATCTCAATGCATAAACCTAAATGAACCTAACACGAAATAAAAAAAAATTCTCAAAATTGATGTGAAAAAATTGCCAGTTAATTAAATAGTTAATTGCCAGTAAAAAAATAAAGTTAGGTGCAAACTTAATTTTAATGCCGAAGTTGTCAGCTGCCAAATATTCAATGACGTCATCGTTCCAAATTTTAAAGACGCTGTTGTTAACGGTTTGGCATGAATGGTGTTAAAATGGTGGTATTATTTATTCGTTTATAATTCATTCGGTCGTTCATTAATTCATTCATTCAACCATCTATTCATTCGTTCAATCACACATTCATCCATCTATCCGTTCGTTCATTTCTTCATTTATTCTCTCATTCATTCATTCATTCATTCATTCATTCATTCATTCATTCATTCATTCATTCATTCATTCATTCATTCATTCATTCATTCATTCATTCATTTATTCAATCATTCATTCATTCATTCATTCCATTCATTCACTCATTAATCAATTCAACAAAAACAAACACAGAACCTCTTCTTAGTTTTGATCTCATGCGCATCTGATACTTTGAAGTATGGCAGGTAGAGGAAGTTGTGAGGAGCGATGGATGGAGACGGAGACGGTGGTAATGATGATGTGGCTGTTGTTGCTGCTGCTGCTGCTGATGATGATGATGATGACGGCAGTGATGATAGTGATGACGGAGAAACGGCTCTCTTGATTGTGGATGCCAACGTTAACTTCGGCGTATGCTGTGTATACATATATATACATTTATATACATACATATAACTATGTGTATATCATAGTTATGTGTAGTGATGTTTTGAATGGCAGAAGTTACGTCGGTCCCATACAATACAATACAATACAATACAATACAATACAATACAATACAATACAATACAATACAATACAATACAATACAATACAATACAATACAATACAGCATGCAATGTTATACAAATATCGTGAGCTATACAACATTAAAACCTTTCAATTGATAAACCAATTCATATATCTGTCCTCCCCCCCCAAATTATTTGTTGTACCGTACATAAGTTCTTTCATGATTTTATCTTTCGTACATATATTTATTGGCTCATCAACTCGTTCATCCATCTATTTATTTAACTGTCCATTCATTCATTTATTCACATATTCATCAATTTATTCACCTATTCACTCATTCATTCATTCATTCGTTCACCTGTTGGTTTTCACAGAACCAAAGTTTCTTATCCTTCAAAACAAACCACAATATGGACCACCTCTCTTTGGAAGCTTCTTTACTCAGTTTATGTTTGTTAACAGAGTTGTGGTTGTTGTTGCTGCTGCTGATGTTGTTGTTGCTGCTGTTGTTGTTGACATCAACGTTGTTGTTTTTGTTTTTGTTGTTGTTGTAAAGATAGAGCCAGCCTTCACAGTCACCTCCCCCAGAATCAATGCATGAAGTACTCAGCTTCTTAAAAATGGCTTCATGGTATTGTTGTTGATGATGTTATTGTTGTTGTTGATGTTGTTGTTGATGTTATTGCTGTGTTTGTTGATGTTATGTTGATAAATGGGAAACAATATAATTTCGTAATGAAATTCAAATTGTATGTACAACATCTCATGGAACATTCGACAAAAAAGAGTATTTGGAGAACGTACATTTATTACTCCTTGATCTAACTCTCAGGAAACCAGTTGAATTCTGGATGTGGGAGCAAACACAGGTTAAAAAACTAAAAAGAATCTATGAATGAAATTTGAATGACAAGAAAAAACAAAAGGACGATAAAAATAATTAACTAGATCACAGGTAAGAATCTCATCCAAAGGACAAAACCCAAAGATCAATAACCACATCAAAATCAAAATATCATTAAATAAAATATCATTAAATAAAAAATATTGAAAATAAATCGAACAAATAAATAAATAGAAAAATAAAAATGAATACGGAATGCTAAATGGGAGTTGGGACTAACAAATCCGAGAGACTCCTGGGATCCGTAAGAGTTGATTGATGAAATCGAGGAACTCCTTGTAGCCGAACTCCTGCCAATCAAGCAGACAATACAAACGTTGTACAAATACACAAAAATATGTGTGTGTGTGTGTCTGTGTATACGTGCGTGTATGCATGTGTTTGTATGTGTACGTTTATGTGTGCATGCATATAAATGTCATTGTATAAAAATCATAAAGTAATTTTCACTATGAAGCAGCATCAGCATAGGAGGAAGGTCTTTTAAAATAATAACTGTATAATAATAATAGGTGTAATTTTAATAATAATAATAATATAATAATAATATAATAATAATATAATAATAAAATAATATATAGGCTAATGTCATAAAAATAATATCACGATTGGATAATTGTGAATGGTAGCTACACTGAAAATTGTTACAACATAACTAAATTACTGAGCAGTAAGATTTGCCAAAATTGCAAAAAGATTATTGAAACTAATTAAATTAAAACAAAAAACAATTAAAACAGAAAACAAAGACAGAATGAAACAAAATAAATGAAAACTGACTGGCTTTCCATATCGTGTAGGTTATCAACTGAGTTTGATAACGTTTTGCAGTTCTGTAGTCAATTGTGAATGACCAAATAAAAATTAAACAAAATTTTAAAAAATTAAACAAAAAAAACCGTGTGAAAATAACTGAAATATTATTGAAGAGTTTATAAGCATTGCGAAAACAAAATTCTATAACCAAAAAAATTCGTTGAGAAACCAAAAACAAAAATGGAGTTAAAGACAAAGAAAGATGTCTTTCAATGAAACCTTCACCTTTGTGGAAGCAAACAGATGTCGATGGCTGGATGGAGGTGTGAGTGAGGATGAGTTACTCACCGAACCATCATCGCCAACACCAACATCTCGTTTGGATGATTTCAACTTAGGAAAAGTTAAAGAACGCCTTTGCTCGTCTGGAATGTTCCTTGATGATGATGACGATGATGGTGGCGGTGATGATGATGATGATGACGATAGGGAAGATGTTAACTGTTTAGGAAAAATTATTTTTCCACCGTCTATGGTTGAGGCTTGGGCAGTTGTTGTTGCAGATGATGATGATGACGACGACGTGGCTAATGATAATGATGACGATGTTGTTTTCGTTGGCGGTGTTGTTGTGGATGTTGTTGCTTTGGCTGCTGCAGAGGTTGTTGTTGATTTCGGTGATGTTGTCGGAAGGGGGGGTTTTGTTGACATGTTTGGTGATAAGTGTTTTGTAGTGGTGGTGGTAGATGGTGTTGAAGATTTGTCATTTAATGCTGATATTGTTGTTGTCAAATGACCAGAAGTTGTTGAAGGAGCTGCAGTTGTTTGAGTTGTTGTTTGAGTTGTCGTTGCTATCACAGGAAAATGTATAATACTTTTTTTTGTAGTGAGGTTTGCGATGGGATGGTGGTGGTGGTTTTCAGTGGCCAGTGTGAACTGTTCTGATGGCGCCAATGTAGGTGTGTGGGGTGTGTTGGTGGAAGGAGGTGAAATCAACATTCTGAATGTCGAAACGTGAGTCTTTCCTGTTGAAACGTTTGCTGGAGTCATTGATGTTTGTGCTGTTGTTGATGTTGTTTGTGGTGTTGTTTGTGGTGTTGTTGTAATTGTTGCTGTTGTTGTTCGTGGTGTTGTTGTAATTGTCGTTGTTGATGTTGTTGGTTCTCTGTTGAGAATGTACAATGAAGATGTCGAGAAGAGCCTGGCTGGAAGTTGTGAAGTTATTGTGATGGTCTGATGAGTTGCTGATGGTACTGCTGCTGCTGTAACTGTTGTCTTCGTTTCATCATCTTCATCATCGTCATCGGCATTTGCGATTGATTGTTGTTTGTCTTTTAAAGCGTTTTTATCATCTTTTTCATCATCATCATCACCATCGTCATCATCACCAGCACCATCATCACCAGAGCCTCCACTGTTTGCACTTTCACTTCCACCATTATCACTTCCACCGCCCTGATCATCACCCCCATCACCTCCAGCATCATCATCAGCACCTCCTCGGTTATCACCATCGTTATCATTATTATTATTAGAGCCAACGTTATCATCGTCGCCACCACCATCCCCCCCGTTATTATCGTCATCAGCGCCTGCATCATCAGCAGCTTCTTTGTTATCACTTCCGCCAACATCAACAACCTCCTCCCCCTCCTCATCATCATCGTCATCATCGTTGTCTCCACCAACGAGATTGTTACTCACATCTTTGTCACCCCTACTCTCGCCAACGTCGTCATCATTTTCCCCCATAACATAAAAAATATGATCACCATCATCATCATCAACAACAACATCAGCAGCAGTATCATCATCACCAACATGCTTGTTTTTATCATCATCATCACCAGCAACAACAACATCAGCAGCAGTATCATCATCACCAACATGATTGTTTACATCATCATCATCATCATCAACAACAACAACACCAACATCATCAAAACTGTTGTGGATGTTATCGTCGCCATCATCATCATTATCATCGTCATTATCATCACCACCCAACGACAACAAGACGTTGGACTTGCGCTTCCTAGACACAAGCGACTCATCATTTGGTCTTCTTCTTAGTATCACATCATCACCATCATCGTCGTCGTCGTCATCTGTTTCCTTCCTCGTACATGATTGGTTGTTTGTAGTGAGAGCATGATGCTGATTTTGATGACGACGACTTTCGTCATCATCATCATGACTCTTGTCGGGGGAGTGATGATGATGATGATCATCATCTTGATGTTTACCCCGTTTCTTCTCATCATCATCGTCGTCATCGTCATCAGGATTTTTCTTCATGTTTTCCCTTCTGTCAAAATTTTTAGAAGAACGTCATCGTCATGAAATAATTTTTGGGGATGTGTAAAAATTTATGAAATAAGTTTGAATGGATGAATGAATGAATGAATGAATAAATGAATGAATGAAAGAATTATAGAAAGAATGAATGAATTAATGAATGAATGAATGTATTAAATAAAAGAATGGATGAATGAATGGAATGAATGCAATGAATGCAATGATTGAATGAATGAATGAATGAATGAATGAATGAATGAATGAATGAATGAATGGAATGAATGAATGAATGAATGAATGGAATGAATGGAATGAATGAACGAACGAATGGAAGGATGGATAAAAAACAAATGAATGGATGAATGAATGAGCGATCGCGACAGCCACAACAACGGTAACAAACAAACGAAAACAGAACGGACTTCCTCTCGGGTTTCACGCAGGGCAGGGTGTCGAAGAATTTGGAGCAGTCGACGACGTGTTTCAACCTGTTCAACCTGACGAGACGACGAGCGTGCTGAGAGTGAGTTTCATCTTTTCTGTAGGAGATTTTCTTCCTCACCGTAATCCTCACATCTCCCTTCAGCAGCCTCACCAACTCCATCACTTTGGCTGGGCACCATCCAATCTGATCGTTTGAAAAAATAATTCAAACGAAAATGACGAAGAAAGGCTTGTTGTGGTGTCGGTGACTTTTTGGTGATAAAGATGATGATGACCACATTACAACGATAGTAGTAGTAATTAGGATGATGAAGAAGATTCAAGTTGGAAATAATTACAAGAGAAGTGCGAATACAATTCTTTAAATACTGTCTAAATGGAAACTTCAATGTAATATAGTCATTGACGACACACGAGAAAGTTGGGAGAGATATGAATTAAGAACGAGAGGGTATTAATTGGAAAACGAACGATGGTCTGGCCGTTGATCTGCACCAACTCGTCTGACACATCCAACCTTGTGGATGATGACGCCGGAAACTGCAACAGCATTACAACAATAGCATTTCAATGAACAACTACACTATAACGATTACATTACAACGACGATTACATTACAATTATTACATTGCGACGAAAAAAAAACGCTACAACAACCAGTAACTAACTAAACTGCAATATTAAGAATTAAATATAAGTAGTGCCTAGTTAGTTGATTAAAAAATGAATAAATAAACCAAACAAATGCAACAATATTAACATTAGATCTGACTTCAGACACGTACAACAATCCATCTGCTGATGACTTCATGACGATACCCTTCATTTGTTTATTTATTTTGAAACAAATTATAAGAAATAATGTGAATATTTTTTTCAAATAATTTCAATATTTTACAGATTAGTGAACAACGAATTCTTCAAAATTTAAGAAATGATAAGTGAAAACATTTAAAAAAATAGTTTTAACAAGATGAGCCACCCGCCAAACGAACCAGTTCATCATTCACATCCTCTTTAAACATCCCAATGCTGGCATACTTCCGCATCTCAAACAAAGCTAGCTCTTTGTAGTTCAAAACAATTGCTTGGCATTGCTCGATTATCAACTTGCACTTTTCAAAAATTTATAAATAAATTTTTTGAATTGTGAAAAACTTAATGAATTATAAGTTTAAGTTTAATAAGAATTTCAAAACAAGACCAACATGGTATTCAATGTATTTGTACTCTGACAGTTTTTTGTATTGACCCAATGCCTTGGAGGACTTCAGCACAACTTCTCTGACATGCAACCAACGAGATTCACTTGAAATTGGTAACCTGCAGCAACGCATCGTCATTCGGTAATCGCCAGGAATCATTTTCATGTTTGTTGTTTTTATGGGTGATTGTTTGAAATGTTTCAAACCAACAAATTTCTAAAATGCAGGTTACGGATGTTTTTGCAAGAAAAAAATTAAAATGCATACTTACAAATAAATTAAATGGTAATTATTTATCAATAAAAGTTTAAAATATATAAAAATAAACAAACTTATCAAGCCACTTAATGAGCTTTTGTGATGAAATCAGAACGTTTTCAACATTTCTCAGTACCTCCAACTGACAAGAGAGTAATAAATTTGCACCTTCCAAAAGAGAATATGAACAAATTTCGTTCATAATTTGGAAAAAAAATAACAAAATCAAAAAGAAGCACTGACCGATGTCATACTGTCTGATGTGATTCAATAAATTTTTAGCTGCAATTTCAAGGCAACTGGCACAAGTTCTGAAACATTCGTGATTCAGCTGGGTCATCATCTGTCAAATGGTGAATCAAATGAAGTCATATCTTTGTCAAGTGTATACCAAAGCTATCAAATGTTGTTCCTCACTTAATATAGTTAATTTCTACAAAAATGTTTACATAAAAATTAAATTAAATTTTAAATAGTGTTTGCATGAAAATAAATAAATTTGTTTCCTGAATAATTTAATAAATAAATTATTTTTCTACTGAAATAAATTCACAGAAAATGTGAAAGCTACATAGGCATGCAAGATTGAAAGAGCAAAAAGAATGTGCTCCTGGTCTCTCAGGTCCTCAAGCCCCATCTCGAGCAGGTCTCCATTTGTGAGGTCCAACAACTTCCTGCCAACAACATTCTCCTTGTAAAATAAATCTTCATAATGTTTCGACTGCGACTTCAAATCCAATCCTGTTGCCAAAAATGTACGAGACAATCTTAGTGTAACTTTTTAGTGTAACTTTTTCAATTTTTTTATAAATACTTTTCATACTTTTCATATACTTTTCATATGAAATTTAATAACTCTCAAGATGTAGTAAGAAAAAAATAATTTAAATCAAGAAATGATGAACATCTGATATAAAAAAAATACTAAATAAACTTTTTATCTTAGATTCAATTACAACAAAAATTGACATGCATTTAACTCAAACATCACTTACAACAAAAAACACATAAGACAATATGAATAAATAAACACTAGATGACTCAAACAATTCTGGACATTGAAATTAAAAGCAGCAGATTCACTTCACAATGCATTTCCAACCTTTTAGCCAGTCCACAACCTGGTTTACAGTCCAATAATTTGACAGCATGAATTGCAACTTTGTTGACATTTTCTACTTTATGAATCAACTTTTTATTAAAAAATCCTTAATCTTGGACACTTTCCTCTTAGAAGAATTTAACAATGTTCAATTGAAATTGTTTTTATAAGTAATGGCAAATGCAAATCATTTTAAAAGAGATTTATAAAAAATTAAATTCTTCAAATAAAAATAAAATATTAATAAAATTTTACTTAAAACCACTTGAATAAATCTATTAGATAATTTAGTAGATAATTTGACCAATGACACAGGACACATGATATTTAGAAACTTTATTCATTTTATTTACATTTGCTGCCTATTTTGTAATTTAATTTGTAAAATCTAAAATGTACTTGTAATGATTAATAAAACTGAAAACATAACAAAAATAAAATAAAAAATACAAATAATAAATATTGAATAATGAATGGTTGATTTTTTTATTTATAAAATTTATTTTATAATATAAATAATATATGCATATTTATATATATATATATATTTTATATATTGACATTATATGCAATTGTATTGTATATATGTAAATATGTATGTGTGTGTGTGTGTGTGTGTGTGTGTGTGTGTGTGTGTGTGTGTGTGTGTGTGTGTGTGTGTGTATGAAAATATGAAAAAGTTTATCATCAAAGTCTGGTAATGTAATGTAAGTAAACATTGTGGAACAAAATTTCAGTTTTTGGCTTTGTCACAAAAAATTTTTTTTTACTTTTTTGTATCTTTAAAAACAATAAAAAATATAGTTTATTTACTATGACAATTTAATTAATCCTACTTACCTAACTTACCTAACTTGTTTTACTTGCATAATGCCATAATCAATCTATTTCTAAAATTATATAAATAATTTCTTAATTTGAAAACGTTAACATTTTAAAATCTGGCAATCATCTTTGAACGAAATGCATAATCAATCACAATTGAATAAATAAATGAATTATTAAATAAATAAACATACCTTACAAAAAATGAATTATTATCACCTAAGTAAACGAAACATAAACACCATCTCAGGCCAGACACCTGTTAGTTCAACATTTTAAGATCTCTTTGTAAAACAAAAGTTAACTTTAATAATGTATATATTCTTTGTTTTTATCTTTTATAATACATACACTTAGAATGCAAATTTAATAAAACTTTAATACAAATTTTTATACAAATTTATAATTATAGGGCTACGTATGATACGTGTGTGTATGTATGTGTTAGAATAATTAAGTAGCAGATGAATATTGATTGTGGTGCGGATCTTTCATTATATTATATGTGCTACTCAATCAACTTCAAGTTGTTCAATTTCTATCGTTCAAACCCTAAGTTATAAAAATGGTATTTAAACCAATGAATCGATCAAATTATAGCAGTTCCAATATTAAAATTCCAAAGCCTGCAAGCAATGTCATCAACTTATTACATCTTGTCTTGAGAACTAATATAGATCCTAAATCTTTCAATTGCTTACAGTTGTGTTTAATAAAAAAAAATAGGTGCAAGTCGCAATTGCGTTTGACATAACATAGCATAACAAGGATTATAGTAGTTAATATATATAATATATCTGAGTGAGAACCACTGGGTCGATTTTGACTAATAATATGGATTTAAAATCCCAATCTTCCAAGTCTGACTTTGAGCTCCTGCATTGTAGGAGCTGTTAGAGTTTTTTCGTCCATTTTTTCCAATGTCCAATAACTCTCGAATTGAAAAATCTTTCTTTTATTGTTCCTACCCTTTCTTTGAAAAGCTTGTACTGGTGCCCTCTTGTGTTTCTATTTTGTGTAAATTGGAAGAATAGGGATGAAGTTATCTCATCTCACCCGTTATGATTTTGTACGCCTGCATAAGATCTCATCTAGTCCTAGGTTTGTTCAAAGTTTTCAGTCCACATTTCTTTAATCTTTCCTCATTTTTTATGACATATCTTAATTTTGGGAATATATATTATATACGCACGCATTATATTTTTCATTCACTGTGGAAGAAATTATATACATTTTGAAAAAAGCAGCTGCTATATTTTTTTGATCAGATGAATCAAATTATTTGAAACTTTATAGCGTGCTTCGTAAGCTCAGAAACAGAAATATAAAGCCATGCAGTACATCACAATTCCCATAAACATTGAAGAGCAGAGAGCGGAGAATACTTATTAATGTTTCAAATTTAGGAACAATTGTCTAAAACACGAAGAAATATTTTAATTCTTGTAACTGGTTTTGTTAGAACAAAAAATATCTTTCAATTTCCATTTTCACAAATATAAATTCATTCGTTGTCACGCAGTGGCGAATAACTTTGGCGGGGCGGGAGCCAAAATTTTTAAAATTTGTAAAAATGTTAATGTTTCAATATGTTTAAATGTGTTGACAGGGGTTGCAAACATTTTGACGAGAAGGCCAACATTTATGACTGACGAACAGTGAAGTCAAATGCAAAAAATATAACTATCGTCTGGTAGGGGAGACTGGGGTCGAATGGACCAGGTACCGAAAGGACCTTCGAAATTAAAAATAGTAAACATGCGCTAACATTTTTTTAAAATTTAAATTCATATACGTCTCTTGGCTTTCTATAACCAGATGTAAATTTTATTAAATGTTTTTAGTAGCCGATTTAACTGTTTCACTTTTCCTTTTTTTGCGAGAAAAAGTGAAATATTCGTCTGTTTCTTTTTGAGTGTTTTAGAAAAATTTCGAGCGGTATGTTTTTGTTTTTTTGTCAGTTTCTATAAAATAATGCTTTCTGAACACGATAGTGTTGATTTGACACCTTTATCCTTTTTAATTTATTTGGCATGTCCGTTTTAGTGTCCAACTACCATGTGGTACAGGATGGACCAGCTTTGTGTGTACAGAAT